GCGACCCCGAAGCGCTTTCAAGGCGGCCGGTCCACCGAATGCTTCTTCACTTCCCTGGTCAAGGCAAGTTGCCGGATTACCGTTTCTGGATGAGCTGGCGGGAGCTGGAGATACGTGAGAACTACAAAGAAACCATGCAACAAATAATACGTGATATACTGCGAAGAAACATACGGAAACACATACGGAACACACATACGGGAAGACATACGGGATATCTTGCGAAACCGCAGACGGAATGCCATACCACAGACCATCGGAGACCATACGGTAGAGGCCATATGGTAGAGGCCATACGGTAGACCGCACGGGAGATCACATGGGAGACCAGAGGGGAGACCGTAGGGAGTGTCGGAGGGGAAGGGGAGGGGCAGGGGAGAGGAGAGGAGGCATGAGGCTTAGAGGTAGGGGGGAGACGAGGTGAGAGCGTGGAGGGAGGCTTGCCGTCGCTCAGACGTCCATTCCCCGTGCGCTGTTCGATTTCGTGCGCGCTTTTTCCGCAAGATGATCCAGGATGCTCCTCGATGGTCGGCGTCGGCGATGCATCGGCGACATAGGCGTGGAGAAAAATTGGGCTCCGCATCGAGCCGCATCGGCGATGCATCGGAGATGCGGCGCGATCCTCCGACCCCATCTACTCAAACCCCATCTGGGAGGCCTAGAGACATGCACACGTCCGAGCGATGTCCAGGAGGAGGGCAGGAAAGACTCATTCTCAGCGTGCGCCCCCGTCCCCGTGCTGCCGGGCACGGCGCCCGCACCCGTCCCGCCTCCGCTGCTCGGACCTTCGCCACGAGGTCCTGCGCAGGTCAGGGCAGGCATGATGCCAAGCAAGGCGATCATCTCACCAGCATCACCACCACCATCATCAGCATCATCAGCATCATCACAACCACCAACAACAGCAGCATCATCATGACCATCACAGGCGCCATCATCATTACCATCACCATCATCACCATCACAATCATCGCGATCATCACCATCACCATCAGCATCATCATCACCACCAGCATCATTATCATCATCGTCGCCATCATCATCCAATCATCACTACTACCATCACCATCACCACCACCATCAAAATCATCGTCAACATCAGCATCAGCATCTTCATCAATATCGTTTTCTGCGCCACCACCACAACCATCATCCTCAACAATATGTTCAACAACATCACCAGCGACTCCATCATCAGCACCAGGATATCCATCACCATGACTATAATCACATCAACATGAATCAACATATGAGCCAACTACCATCAACCACCAATTACCCTCATACTCATGAACATAATCATCATCACACGCATCACAAACATCACCATCACCGTCACCACCGCCATTAGCATCAACAGCATCATCTGCATAATTCACCTCTTCACCGTCATCAGCATGTCAGCATACCATCATCTTCATCATCATGACCATCAACATCATGTTATCCATCATCAGCGTCATCCTCACCGTCATCAGCATCCTACTCTACATCATCATAAGCATCAACATCACCATCAGTATCATCATCATGCTCAGCATTATCATCATGATCAGCATCACCATCACCGTCATCATCAGCAACAACAGCAACATCAGCATCAACCCCACTAGTATCATCATCGTCAGCATCATGATCCTCCTCCTAATCATCATAATCATCATCATCACCATCATCGTCAGCAACAGCAGCAGCAGCGGCAGCACACGGCGAGATTCTGGGGAGGGGGGCGAAGGGATCGAGGATCGCGAAGGAGAGGATAGCGTGTCGACGTCTTGAGGTCTTCGGCCCCTGCTGTGCCTGTGGAGGCAACGATGCGCCCACGCCGGTCCCAGCCTGGCGTCGGGGGCTGGCCTGGTCAGGGTCGGTGCGAGCAGATGGTTGGCGTCCCCTGGACGGTGCCTCCTCCTCCTCCTCCTCCTCCTCCTCCTTCCCCTTCTCCTCGCCCGCCCTCCTCGTCCTCGTCCTCGTCCTCACTCTCGTCGTCGTCCTCCTCCTCGTACGAAAGCGTCACCTGCAGCGCAAGCGTGCGAAGACGAGGGTCAGGTGGAGGATGCGAATGCCGAGGCGGAGAGTGATGACTGTGTTCACGCTTACGTGCTCAGGGAAGGAGGCAGGAGGTAGGATGGGAAGCGGATGGGAAGAGGACCTGAGGGGAAGCAATGGGAAATGCGATCCCGACCGCCAAATCTCTTCCGCGGCAGGCAAGCGCCCTTACAAAACCTGGACACCCCACGCCATTTTCTCGTCAGGTTGTGAGGCCACGTCCAAATCCTCTGGTGGTCGTAGGTTGCACCAAATGATTGGGGCACGCATTGCACTCACACGTACTGCGCGCTCCAACGGGAATGCTCGTAGAAGTCGCCCCATAGGTTGCGCCCCTGTTGCTTTGTAATGCTTCTCATTGAGTCGCATCGTGCTGTTTTGCGGTACTTAGCCTTAGTTTGCTTTGCACTGCGCGGCTTTGCTTCGATTCCCACTGCGATGTGCTCAGGTCCGTTACGTGGTTTGGAATTGAACACTTGCCCTGCGTGGTAACACCGCGCGCACGAATCGGCCCGTGCCATGTAACAATGTAGTGCTCTGCTCTGCGATACTACGCCACGCCTTGCAAGGAGATTCCATGCTATGGCATGACATGCTACCCATTGCTATGCCGCTGCCATGCTACGCTTGCACGACTATGCAACACGATGCCGTGACACACTACGCTACACGATGCAAAACCATGTGATGATGTGCGTTGCTACGCGGTTCGCTACAACGCTGTGCTGCAACGTAGTGGTATCCACCGGGATGCTAGCATATGCGTACTAGGCTGCGCGATGCATGTCATGCTTTATATACGAGGCGATGCATTGTCTTGCTATGTCTTGCTACGCTGACCTATGCCGTTGAATGGCAGTCGTCAGGAACGCGGTGCTATGCTACGAGTTGCTGCGCTATCGGATGACTTGGATTGTGCTGTACTGTATTGGAATGCATCGCGTATGTACACCTTCGGAATACCCAATTGCCCTGATTGAGGTCCGACGGTTCCATTGCTGCGGTGCAGGAGCCTGGCCTCACGCGGCGTCTGAAAATGTGAACAACACCTGCTCGGTCCACATTCTCGCGCCGAGGGGCCATACACTTTTCTTGAAGTGCTCCAGCGTGCTAGCAATGCCGAACACCCCTGCCATCCCCTTCGGCGCAGTCCCCTGGGGAGGGTGAATAACCACATTTCAAGTGGCACCTTTGCCGAAGGAGACCTCAACAGCTTTACACAGTTACGATGGGATCCACGCGGGGGGGGGGGGGGGCGCGATGGGCGATGGGGGAATTGGGATGTATATGGGGCGAGGGGAATCGGGATCGGAACGTCGAGATAAGGATCGGACTATAGGAGAGAGCGTGATCCACCGCCGCTTTACTGCAATGGAAGATTCCCCCCCTCTTCCTCCGGAACCCCGGGGTCCCCTCCTCCCCCTCCGAACCCCCCCCCCCCTCATGGCACCCCCCCATCCCTTCCCCCCGGCAACCCCCCCCCCCCCCCCACACCCCCACCCCTTCTGGAAAACCCGGCGGGTCACTTTCGGTTCGAACCCCCCCCCCCCCTCCAGAAAACCGGGGGGGGGTTCACTACCGGTTCGAACCCCTCCCCCCCCTCCCAAAACCAGGAGGGGTCACTACCGGTTCGAACCCCTCCCCACCCCCTCTGGAAAACCGGGGGGTCACCATACCGGTTCGAACCCCCACGTCCCTCCAAAAAACCAGAAGAGCCACTACGGGTTCGAACCCCTCCCCCCCCCCCACGCTCACCGCCAGCAAACGACTCCCGGGTCCCTACCACCGTCCGCACCACATCCCCCACTGCTGTCCCCAGCACCACTGTCCTCACCACCACTGTCCCCACTGTTCCCACCACCGTCCCCACTGTCCCCACCAGTGCCCCCACCACTGTCGCACTGTCCCCACTGTCCCCATCACTGTTCCCGCCGCGGTCTCGCTCTCCCCACTTCCCCCACGGCCCCAACCACTGTCCCCACTGCCCCACTGTCCCACTGTCATTGCCGCTGTCCCACTGAAGTGTCCCACTGTTCCCACCACTGTCCCCACCAGCCATTGTCCCCACTGCACCTCTGTCCCATTGTCCCACCGCCGTCCTTGACACTGGCCTCACCGCTGTCCCCACCACCACCCACCACTGTCCCACTGTCCGCACCACTGTCCCACTGTCCCCACACCACTGTCCCCACCACCACCGTCACCACCAGTGTCCCACAGTCCCCACCACTGTCCCACTGTCCCCACTGTTCCCGCCATTTTCCCCGCTGTCCCCACCAGTGCCCCCACCAATGTTTCACTGTCCCCACTCTCCCCACCATTGTCCCACCACGGTCCCGCTCTCCCCACTTCCCCACGGCCCCCACCACTGTCCCACTGTCCCCACTGTACCCACCACTGTCGCACTGTCCCCGCCGGTGTCCCACTGTGCTGTCCCACCGCCCCCACTGTGCCCACCACTGTCCCATCCCCACTGTCCCCACCACTCTTCACACTGTCCCCGACCTCACCACCGCCTTTCCCCGTCCCACTGTCCCCGCCAATGTCCCGTTGCCCTCTCACCACTGTCCCCACCACCACCGTCCCCACCACTGTCCGCACCACTGTCCCACTGTCCCCGCACCACTGTCCCCACCACCACCGTCCCCACCACTGTCCTGGTATCCCCACCATTGTCCAACTGTCGTCCCGAGGAGCGGGAATCGTTTGCCGGCTGCGAGAAGAGGAGGTCGAACCGGTAGTGACCCCCCTCCGGTTTTCGAGGGGGGGGGGTTCGAACCGGTAGTGAACTCCCCACCCTTTTCATGATGACCTGGGGGGGGGGTTCGAACCGGTAGTGACCTCTCCCCAGTTTTCGAAGGGCGGGGGGGCGGGGGGGGGTTGGGAACCACCAGTGACCCACCCTGGTTTTCCGCCAGCAGCGGTAGAACACGCTCTGTCGGATATAGGATGGGTATAAGAAGGATAGAAATAGAAGGATAAGGATGCGGCCTACAATGGGAGGCCACGAGAGGCAACGGGAGGCAACTGGGAGGCCACGGAGGGCAACGGGAGGCCGCGGGAAGGCCACGGGAGGCAACTGGAGGCCACGGGAGCCAACGGAATGCAACGGGAGTCACGGGGGGCAGCCGAAGGCAACAGGAGGCCACGGGAGGCAATGAGAGGCAACGTCGCCCGCCCGATTTCGCATCCGGCAGCGCACCTGGTAATTTCTTGAGTAAAAAACTGATCTAGCACGCTCACAGCAGACGCGTGGTGCATGCTATGTGGTGGGGAAGCGTTAAGGTGCAAGCTATGTGGTTGAAACTCTGCGGTGTGAGCTGGCATTGCGTAAGCTGTGGCGTAAGCTATCTGGTGGAAGCTATGCGCCCACGAGGTGCCCACGAGGCGGCACAGGCGCGGACGCGGCGAAACCTCGGCGGACCCACCCAGCACACGGGGCACCCACAAGCGCCCACGAGACAGCACGAGCGCAAACGTGGCGAAACATCACCCGATCCCTCTCAGCACGGAGCGCCGAGGAGCGCGCACGAGGCGGCACGGGCGCGCTGCCCCTGTCCGTCGCCATCGCGCGGCCGCGATGCAGGACGAAGAGAGAGGGACGAGGAGGACGAGAAGGAAACGGCCTGGTCAGTGCTCACCTCTCTCAGAGCAGGGCGAATTTAGACAACGGCAATTCGGACTCGGCCCCTGGACCCCTCCCATGCATCGACACGCATCACTTCTCCAAGCTGCGTCCGGCTGTGGCGACGAGGACCCCCCCCGAGGGCAAAATACTGTTGTCTCAACTCGCCCTTCTCTGCCTCTCTCGCACCGAGGGCGGGAGAGCAAGCAGCGCGGTCGGTACGGTTTTGTCCAGCGCCCTGCCGCCCTGCCGCACGGGCCGGCCCGCGCGCTGGCGAAGGAGGCGAGGGAAGAAGGACGCCACGAGCGCGCCCAACGGCGCACAGCCGCCACGCCCGCGGAGGTGGGCCAGGCTAGTCCTCGGTGATGAACGGCAACACCACGCGTATCTTGCCGCACAAGGTCTGGTCCCACGCGTGGTGGTCCATGCACTTCAGCAGCGCGCCCGGCACATCCGCCTGCCTCATCTTGCCTATCTCGGGGGAATTCTTCCCGGCCACCTTGGCCATCTCCCAGAACGCACCGTTGGCCGACATGACGACCTCCTTCTGCTTGAAGTGGGCCCTGACGGCATCCACTGCAAGCTGCACGCCGCCCGCGTCGCACATGAGGCCAACCTGCCCTGGCGCCATGGCGATCCCGCGCAGAGCCGCGCAGCCCGCGCGCTGCACCTCGGGATCGGCGGGGTGCCCGCGCATGGCCGCCTCGATCGCCGGCATCAGCGCTGCCGAGGTCAGGCCGGCCATCGCGGCGGTGGCCTCGCCCTGCTCGCGCGCCTCGCTGAAGAGCTTGCCGACACGGTTCAGGCCCGCCTCCTGCACGCCGGCCGAGGCGCCCTGGCACTTCATGAGCTCCGCCATCTCTGCCACGCCACTGGCGCTGGCGTCACTCCAGGCCTTCAGCTTCTCCGCCACGGCTGCGGCCTCGGGCGAGTCTGGCGGCCTCTTGTAGGCCTCGCCCCACTCGGCCTCCAGGTGGTCCCAGGCGTCCTCGAAAGTCTTGAAGCTATCCTTGTCCGCCGCAGGGCCGCTGGCACACTGTGCCAAATATGCCTCCACGCCCTCCCGCAGCTCCTGCGGCAGGGCGTCGAGGGTCTTCTCGTCGAGGCGCTTGGCCAGCTTGATGAGCCGGATCTCGTGGAACTCGTGGGCCACCTGCAGCCAGTCATTACCGCCCTTGCTCTTGGCCGCCTCCAGCTGCCCGCGGACCACCGTCAACTGCGCCTGGGTCCATTTGGTGGCCTCCCTCCTCTGCTGCCACAATCGCTTCTTTTCCAGCTGCTCCGCGCTCTCCTCCTCGGGCGGGTCTTCTGGTGGAGCCTCCGCCTTCGCCTTCGGCTTGGCCCGCGCTGGGGGTTTCTTGCCCATCGCAGAGGGGCGGACTGAAGCCAGAGCCACTGGTGCAAGATAGGCCGAAGCCAATGTGTCTACGGATGCATGGTGGAATCGCCCGCATATCTGGAAAGCCGCTTTTGGTCATCTCCACACCTAGTGCGTAAACCATACCCACCTGCGCTCTTCCCTCTGTCGGATGCCAAATGCCAACCGCCGCCCAATATATTTCACGTCCACGCAATATTCACTGCTTGATGCACTGAACAGAATCAACTATGCTCAAAGCCGCACGCCCGGCCTGCATGATGCGAACTATGCATGCGGGTCCTCTGCTTCAGAATACAACGGACCTAGAGTCTCGCTCAGCAGCGACAACGTCTCCTTCCAGAGCTCGTTCTCCTGTAAATAATTGTTTTTAGTTCATGGGAACGAAATGCTACCTGCGCATACCTGCTCCGTGCAACACCCGTCCCCCATGTCTCATTCCGATCGTCGGGTACTTTGAAAAAAAGACCGAACTGAAACTGAGGCTCCCGACAGGGAAATCGGATCTGTTTTCAGCTCGTGTCGTGCGCGACGTGCGTGCGAAGAGGACCGAATGCCTGTCCCAAATGGGCGCCTGGGCGTGCGCGGGGATGTCCCGCGGTTGTCCCACGATTGTCCCGAACGTGCGCAAAATTGTCCTGCAATTGTCCCGAATTTGTTCCGTTGTTCTTCCGTGGTTGTCCCGCGACTGTCGCGTGGTTACCCTGTGGTTGTCCCGAACGTGCGCGGGGGTGTCCCGCAATTTCCCGAAATTGGTCCGTGGTTCTTTCGTGGTTGTCCCGCGACTGTCGTGTGGTCGTGCTGGGGTTGTCCCGACTGTGCGCGAACTTGTCCCGCGATTGTCCCGAAATTGTTCCGTGGTTGTTCTGTGGTTGTCTCGATGGTCGCCCGTGGTTGTCCCGTGGTTCTCCCGTAATTGCCCCGCGATTGTTGCATGGTTGTCCTGTGGTTGTTCCGTTGTTGCCCCTTGGTTGGCCCGCTGATGTCCCATGGTTGTCCCGTGGTTGTCCCGCGGTTGTCCCGCGGTTGTCCCGCAATTGTCCCATAGTGGTCGTGTGTTTGTCCCTGTGTTCCCGTGGGTGTCCTGTGTTTGTCGCGTGGTTCACCGGCATTATCCTGAGGTTGTCCCGTGGTTGTTTTGTCTATGTACTGTTTACATACAGATGACGAGTGCGATGAGCAGACACTGAGATCGATCTATCTCGGTAAACAGATAGATGTTCACCCATGTTGGCAATGCTGTCGAGAGGGGTATAAAAGGGACCACTCGACAAACATACCAATCGATTATTTGATAATGACGTCGGTGGGCGAACTGCAACACCAATGGAATGTGGAATCGACCCGTATATCGATAATATGACCCACATATTGATAATTAGATCGATGGGTAATTAGATTCATGTCCCGCGGTGGTCCCGTGGTTGTCCCATGATTGTCCCGCAATTGTCCCGCGGATGCCACGTGGTCATCACGTGGCTGTCTCGCGGAATTTTGCGGATCGCCATTGTCCCATGGTTGTCCCGTGGTTGCCACGTGGTTGTCCAATGGTTTTGTCTCGTGGTGGCCCGTGGACATCCCGCCCAGACATGTATCGTGGGACTGGTAGGTAGATAGTGAAATGGATGGAATAATTTATCGGGCTTTCGACTGCTAGATAGTTTGACCTATCGCAAGCTGTGCCGATAGACCTAGACCTATCATACCACATGGGCGCCGATCAAATTACTATTTGGGTGAAACCAACGACGAGACAACCGGCAGGAAGAGCGTCTCCATCCACCGAACAAGGTCTACCATGTTTTCCCGATGTCACTGTCGATATGTCTATCCATCGACCTCACTTATATATATATGTATGTATACAGATGTGTGGGTATGTATATGTATGCCAACCCCACGATCCATCTATCGATAAAACTGTATTATAAATTGTCTCTATCCCGATCTATATCACTATACTTGTGCGCGTGAGTGTTTCGACCTGTCGATCGGCCTCATTATCTACCAATCGATCTCACTATCAAAAAGCCAATCCACCATCATGACAGCCATCTAGGCATCCATCGGAACAACTATCGGGACAACTGGCGGAGCAACCGTACCCATCCAACGAGCAGTCCCGATTGGCCTATCGACCAGTAGCACTACCAACACATCTATCTTATTATACTTTCATCGGGTTCGCTATCTATACACATGTATAATTCGATCTTCCTAACTATCGGCCCATCGATCGCGCTAACCATCTATCGATCTCACCACCTCTTTCCGCCACCGTGCCTCTGGGCACGGAGTGGGCGTGCCCTCAGGTCCTGGGACCAATCCTCGAAGCCTCACTCCTCACGCCCGAGGAATATTTCAGACGCCCAGACCCCTCGCTCTCAAATCTCCTGGGACTTCCCGCATGCCCCCTGGGACTCGTCGCGTGCCCCCTGGGCTACGGGAAGTGTCGTCGCGTAAATTTGTCGGGCCCAAGAGGGCCCCAAGACGGGCCAAGAGGGCCCCAAGAGGCGCCCCAAGTCGCCAAACGATCGCTCCAAGACGCTCGACATGACCCCAGACGGCCCAAGAGGCCCCGAAGACGCCCAACGAGGCCTCCAAGAGGCCCACCAAGAGGACCCATGATGCAAACATCATTAATTTTGCGAAGGTGTTTGACAGATGATGGCGTTCTCTCCTTGTCGGTTTCCCGATGCCCCCAGACGGCAAGACCGCCCCAAGAGGGCCCCGAAACGGTCTAAGAGGGCCGAAAAGACTGCCCAAGCGGTGCCCAAAACGGCCCAAAAGGGTTCCACGACGGCCCCAGAAGGAGCCCAAGAAAAGGAGCGCGAACTGAAAATCCAAGCCTTCCGCCCCAAGAGGCCCCCAAGAGGCCCCAAGAGGCGCCCACGAGGCCCCCAAGAGGCCCCCAAAAGGCCCCCAGGATGCCCCAAGAGGCCCCAAGATGCCCCGAAGAGGCGCAAAAGAGGCACCAAAAGACCCCGAAACGGCCCCCGAGAGGCGTCCAAACTGCCTCCAAGATGCCCCCGAGAGGCCTCCCACGAGATACCAACAAACATTCAATTGGCTTAATACCAACAACCCAGGCACGGTGGCGGGATGGGCCCCAAAGGGGTGCCGGGCGTGCCAGATTATATGGCTTTTGGTTTTGGTTTTCCAAAAGAACTCCCCCTTGGGCTTCGGCCCGTCCCGCCGGGGTCCCGGGAGATTCCCGAAAATCCATCCGACAATGCCTTAGTTGCCCCAAGTTGGCCCAAGATGGCCTCCAAGACGGCCAAGATGGCCCAGGATGGCCTCCAAGATGCCTCCAAGACAGCCAAGATGGCCTCAAAGACGTCTAAGCTGGCTCCAAGATGCACCCAAGACGGCCCAAGATGGCCTCAAGATGTTCTACGACGGCCCACAAGGCCCGCAAGAGGCCTCGAAGACGGCCCAACAGGCCTCCAAAACGTCATCCAGGAAGGCCCGAAAGGGCCAACATCATGTATTAGCTTTCGGTGTTTGAAGGATTTTGGCATTTGCGCCTTTTCGGCTTTCCGACGGCCCAAGACGGCCCAAGAGGCTCCCAGGATCGCCCAGGAGGCCTCCAAGATGGCCCCATGACAGCCCAAATGGCCTCTAAGACGGCTCCAAGAGGGCCCCAAGACGGCCTAAGAGGCCTCCAACACGCCCAAGATGGCCTCCAAGACGCCCAAAATGGCCTCCAAGACTGCTTCGTAGCGCCCCAAGCGGGCCCCAAGTCGGAAAAGAAAGGCCCCCAAGACGGCTCCCGACGGCGTCAGACGTGCCAGGAACCCACCAAGATGGCCGAAGTTGGCTCGAAGCTGGCCCAAGACGGCCCAAGAGGCCTCCAAGAGGGCCTCCAGGCAGGCCAGAAGAGGCCACAAACATTGATTGTCCATAGGTTTTTGAAGGATCTTGACATTTGCTTCTTTTCGGCCTTCCGACGGCCCGAGACGGCCCAAGAGCCCCCAAAGATCGGCCCAAGATCGCCCAAGAGGCCTCCAAGATGGCCCCAGAACGGCCCAAGAGGCCCCCAAGACGGCCCCAAGAGGCCCCCAAGACGGCCCAGGAGGCCTTTAAGACGCCCAAGATGGCCTCCAAGACGGCCCTGCAGCATTCCAAGAGGGCCCCAAGTCGGCCCAGGGAGGCCCCCGAAACGGCTTTCGACGGCATCAGACGGGCCAGGAGCCGACGAAGATGGCCGAAGATGGCCCTAAGATGGCCCAAGATGGCCCAAGAGGCCTTCAAGAGGGCCTCCAGGAAGGCCCTAAAAGGCCAAAATCATTGATTTCTCATAGGTTTTTGAAGGATCTTGACATTTGCTTCTTTTCGGCCTTCCGACGGCCCGAGACGACCCAAGAGCCCCCAAAGATCGCCCAAGAGGTCTCCAGTATGGCCCCAAAACGGCCCAAGATGCCCCCAAGACGGCCCAAGAGGTCTCCAAGACGCTCAAAATGGCCTCCAAGACGGCCCACGAGCCCTCCAAGACGTCCTCCAAGAAGGCCCGAAAGGATCAAAACTGCCTCCAGGCGGCCAAGATGACCTTCAAAATGCCCACGTGTTCCTCGAAGGCTTTCCAAACCGATTCGGGGAACACATGGTCCGATAGCTTGGCAGGTCTGGCCTCAACGTTCGGCGACACAAGCGCATCCAAAAAGGCAGGGAGCGGCGGTGATTGGCCGTAGGCGTCTTCGATCCGCCGCCCCTGTCTGGCCTGCTGAACCCTCTCGGTTTTGGTTTTGGTTCTTGTTCCAAAAGAACTCCCCCAAGGGCTCCGGCCCGTCCCGCCGGCCACGCGGAAACTGCACAAGTCAATGCCTGTTCCGCCCCAAGAGTGCCCAAGATGGTCTCAAGACGGCCAAGATGGCCCAGGATGGTCTCCAAGATGCCTCCAAGACAACCAAGATGGCCTCCAAGACGACTAAGATGGCTACAAGATGCATCCAAGACGGCCCAAGATGACCTCAACATGGTCTAAGACGGCCCGAAAGGCCCGCAAGAGGCCTCCAAGACGGCCCAAGAGGCCTCCAAGAGGTCCTCCAGGAAGGCCCGACGAGGCCCACATCATTGATTCCCCACATCCAAAGTGGGGTTCTTGTTTTCTCTGGACACCCCGCGCAGGAACAGGAACACACACACACACACCCACTCACACTCACTCACACTCTCTCATCATCAACCTCATCAGCATCATCGATGATGCTCTCTCACATGCTTAGTCACTCACATACTCATCATCATCATCACTCGCACTCTCTCACACGCTCATGAACATCATCATCATCATCATCATCATCATCGGCATCATTTCATTCAAACATCATCATCATCGCCACCACCACTCACAA